CACACACACACACACACACACACACAAACACACTTTCAATACACACATACATGCTCAAATTCGAACACTCGTACACCCAAACTCAACGCTCGTGCGCTCAAGTACATACATACACACACGCGTACGCGCGCCGCGTGAGCGCACCCGCTACGGATAGGAAAACTTGATGAGCAGAGGAAATCGCCAGGCATTAAGGGAGGGAAGGAGGAACCGTTTGATGAAATGTCGCAATGTTGTATTGACCTTTTTTTACACGCAGTTGACAGAGACAAACCATTGATTTTTTTTTGTCACCTACCTGGTCCGTTTAGACAAGCGTGGCGGGTGGTGAAGCATTCTCTTTCAGCGCGTGCTTCCCTCCTGAAATAATAACAACGGCTAGACGCGAGTTGATATCTGTTGTTGCTTTGAGCCAGCAGGCGTTTAAGGTTCTCCGGAGTTGATTCAATTTTGAGGTGTCTGAGTTTTCGTCTTTTTTCCACTTGGATACGTGAGACAGTCTTCTGTGATGAAGTGTCATCTTTTATCACGATGGCGACATTAATATTTCTGCCTCATTTTATTCGTTTCGCGTTACACAAGACCTGTTACTCTGATACCGGTACCCTAATATTACTCCAATGTAACGCTTGTTTCCTGGAGTCGTTTATCGTTATCTAACCGTTATCTAACCATGTTTTTGGATTCGACGGCCTTTCGGACAAAAATGTACCGTTCGGGTTTTGTTTTTGTTTTTTGTTTTGTTTTTGTTTTATTCTTTTTTGTTTGTATAATATGTATAGTTAGGGGTTTTCTTTCTTTTTTATGAAGGTTGTGTTGTTGTTTTTGGGGAGAGGTAGATTTTAAGATTGTGTTGTTGTTGTTGTTTGTTTGTTTTGTAGTGTTGTTGTTGTTGTTTTTGTTTTTTTGTTTTTTTTGGGGGGGTGTTTAGTTGTTTTTGTTTTGTTTTTTGGGGGGGCTCCGTTTTTTGTGTGTTTTTTTAAAGTTGGATAATTCACAATTCTTGACATAGGATCCAGCAACGCCCCGAAGGGGTTGAGAGCTGTGTAGTGCAATATGCAGGTTTGATATTGTCAAATGTTTCTCCCAAGTCCTTTCTATTCCTGTGCCTGCCCGTACAAAGCAGTGTGGGTGGTTGAAGGGCGTCTTTGGTAGGTCTTACTCGAGAACTTTCCCTCATGTCTTCTTGAGTGTCTTTTTTGCTATTTCCCTGTACTCTAAGATGGATATTGTGATATTGCTGGAACAAAGAGAGAAGCCCGCAAAACGGGCGAACATTCACAAGTAGAATTGAAGCTTTTAAATCCACTAAGTGTGAAAAGCTTCTCGCTGTCAGAATTATTGGTGCCTCTGGCCACAACAGTAGCAGGTGTCATTGACCTCAACATGAAGTGACATACCATGTTAATCCTCATTACTTCTATTTTTCTTTAAAAATATACTGTCTTTTCTTCAGAGGGATGGGTCAAACGAACTGTTATTGTGGTTGTTATTTTGTTGATGTATATCAATGTACTTAAACTCAAGC